TTCACTAGTATTTGGGACTTTTTGGGTTTAAAATTGTGAATTTGGTATTGGCTATGTATTTAGGTAGAAAGGGGCTATAGTACAACAAAATTTAGTCTAAAAATATAAAATACAAATTTAAAAAAGCCCCCGTTTTTCATAGTATTGCCCCTATGGGAAATATAGTGAAATTTTGGTATTGGGCTAAGTATTGAGTGGGAAAGAGTAGAGTAAAAAAATTTTTATTTAAACTAATAAATTTAAGGAAAAGGGAAAAAGGGTCTCAATTGTAATTTTTTTCTGGGGGTTTATATAAATTTTTTACAAAAAATTAGAGTATAATTTGATTTAAAATTTTCCCAATTTAAATTTAAATTTTCCACAATTCCCCTTTTTAAATTGGTTGGCCCTTTATTATTTCCCAGAGTTAATTCCTCTGTAACTTGGGATGTTGTGACCCGTCTTTTGAGTTCAAATTTCCCCCTTTTACCTTTTTCAGTATCCAAAAAAATGGGGCCCCGTCCCCGGACTCTTATGTTTCCCCTTTACCTTTGACTACCCCCACGGGTGGGTATTGGGGGTGCCTGGGTTTCCTGGAGAGAAAAGTTCGGGGTCAACGCCCCCGCCCGGCCCGGGCTTTGACCGGCCTCTGGTGGTTTAGGCCTGATCAAAACCCGGTGTTGCTGCTGGCTGCAGGGAAACCCAAGTACGAGCCCAGCCCGGTGGTTTAGGGAACCCACTTTAGGTGCTTGGGCAGGGGCCAGCTTGAAAAATGCCCCGGGGTCTGTTTTGGGAATCCCCCCTTAAAGTATGGGTGGGAGGCAGTTTTAAAGTCTCGGGCCCCCGGGCATTATTGTTGTTTTAACGTGCTGTGGAAAACCCTGCTTTTCATTGGGGGGTGATGCATCATTGCCGGGCTTTTGCTTTCCCAGTGGGGAGATTTTGGTGCAAGTTCGGTACTAGTCCTTAGGTTTTCCCGGGTATTATTGTTCTCTCCGCCTGCGTTCCAGGGGAAAACCGTTTTGGGAAACCCCCCGGGTTTCCCTTAAATTTAGGTTTTTTTATCTCCCTTATGCGCACCGTGAAGGTTTTTCGGAAAATTTTTACCTGGAGTTTTCCCGGAGAGATTCGGGGGTCAACCCCCCCGCGGCCGGTCTGAGACCAGCCTCCGGGTGGATCGAGCCGATAACCAGGCGTTGCTGCGGGCTGCACGAAAAAAACTACGGCCACAGCCCGGTTTTCCCGGGGAATGACTTTAGGTGCTTGTCCGTGCCAGTTTGAAGACTGCCAGGGGTCTGTTGGAATCCCCTTATGTGTGCTGGGAGGAGGAACGTCTCGGGCCCCTGACATTTTTGTATGGTCTCTTTAAACGGCTAGTGACCCCCCTGCTTTTCTTGGGGGGATGGTGCATCGCTGCCAAGTCTTTTGCTTTCGTAGTGGGTTTTTTTCGTTGCAATTTTCGGTACTAGCCCCCTCTAGGTTTTTTCAGGTGTTATAATCTGTATCTCCCCCTCCTGCTTCCGGGGAAATACAGGTTTGGAACCTCAAGCGCTCCCAATAATTGAGGTGTTTTATCCCCCGTTTCCGCGCCGTGAAAGTTCTCTGACATTTTCTAGGTCGGAAATTTTTTCACCTCCCTTGAAAGGTGCTGTTAGTGGCACAATATTCCAGCCTAATAGAAACAAGGACCTAAAGAGTGTCATCAGGGGCTTGGCCTCCCTATTTTGAAGGTTTCTTTAAACCACCCTGTCTTTTTCTTGCAATGCAATTGATACAATTTTTTGGTCCTTGAAGGTGAGACCCCTCCGACATGACACCCCCGGGTTTTTGACTTTTGGTGTTTCGCTTATTTTGTGGCCAGAATTTGTTTTGTACCTGTAAAGTTTTAAATTTCCTCGGTTTACCATATGATAATTGAAATTTCTCATCGTTAAAAACTTCATTTTGTTTTCTGCACCCATGAAAAATTCATTTTTAAATACACAGGAAAATAAATTTAAAGGGCAGCAGGTAGGAATTGTAACGAGGTAAAGATATAATAATTTCCATAAACCTGGAGAAGGTTTGAGGGGGTCAGTCCCTCAGCCTGGGGAAAAAGAGTTCAACTCCATTGTTCGTTGAGAACAGCGTTATCACCCACAGAACAGCTAGGTTGGCAAAGCTTTCCCCACACATGGGGGTCCGGGGGGCGAATTTAAAAGGGGGAAAAAATTAAAGTTTCTTCACCTGCGTTTTCAAACCCAGGTAAATTATCTAAAAAAACCCCATTTTTTTTTTCTTTTCCCATTGGGAATCAAGCTTTACTTTGTTGGCGACTGGCTAAAAAAAAATAAAAAAAACAAAAAACCCCAAAAACCCCCCCCCCCCCCCCCTTTTAAAATTTTTAAAAAAATCAAAAAAAAAAAAAATAAAAAAAAAAAAAAAAAAAAAAATATAAAAGGGTCAGGTAGGTGGTGATGGTTCCCGATATGATGCTTTCCAGGGAAGTTTAGCTGCCGTCAAATTATTTTCCCAAATGGGGAAATCAGATCAAACAAAAAGATCCTAAATGGATAACAAAAAAAATATCTGATTGGTCAAAAGGGGCTTTATTGGCAAATCAAAAAGGAGGGGCAATTGAAAATCGATTTTCAGTTAAAGAGAGAAATAAAAAAGGGTTTTTAAAAAAAGCAAAAGAGATTATGGGTTTAAAAGTTGCAAGAGAACGAAGACTAACCCAAAAGGATTCTTTCGGGTATACAGAATTTTGTAGGGAAAAGATGGGCCCCACTCAAAAGTTCCTGGGGTCAGCCATGCAGTGAAAAGGAAAATGTGTAAAATTTTTTAACACATACTTCCTCTCATTTTTTAAACTGGAGGATACCACGATTTTCCTAATGTAAATTTGTAAAACAGGACGATAATAAACTGTGCACTTTTGGGGTCACAAGTGACATGGTCCTTGAAAATAGATAAATTAAAACCTAACAAATCCCCAGGCCCTGATGAACTGTATGAAAGGGGTTCTAAAGGAATGTAAAGAGGAGCTTAGCACACCTTTGGCTAATTTTAAACAATCACTACAAAATGGCTGGTGCCAGATAAGTGGAAAATGCAAATGTATCCCTTTTTTCAAAAAGGTGACAGGTCCTGTTCGAACTATAGACCAAAAAAGCCCCCCCATAGTGGGAAAATTTATGGAATCAATAATTGCCGGGCAGTTCGTACCCACTGAAAAGTATAAATTTAATCAACGAATCTCAGCAGGGTTTTACAAAGGGGGTTCCTGCCTTACAATTTATTAACTTTTTTCCAAAGGTTTTTGAGGGGGGTAGATCATGGTAATAAAAATGATATGTGTAATGGCTTCGTAAGGCTTTTGAAGGGGCCCCCATCGAGACTATTGAGGAAAATTAAGGGAATGGAATAGGAGGGGAAAAATTTTTCCTGGATAGGGCAGGGTTTACAAATAGGCCAAGAGTTTGCATAAATGGGGAGAAAACGAGTGGGGGAAATGTCACGAGCGGGGGTTCCCCGGGGTCATGTTGGGCCCCCTGTGTTCACAATCTACATAAACGACATAGATAGGGCAAAAGAGCGACATCGGCAAGTTTTCCGATACACCAAAATAGGCCGTCGAATTCATTCGACGAGGACTTCGGCACTCCAGGAATTTTTAATAGAATTTCAGTGGTCGGAGAAGTGGGAGATGCAGTTTTAAAATAAGAAAAGCAAAATTCTAAATGTTGGACAGGACAATAAACCCTGCCCCAAAAATAAAAAATAAAAAAAGAAAATCTTAAAAATTTTTCGGATTGCGAAAAAAGATTTAGGAGTTCTGGTTAGCAGTAATCTGAAACCCAAGACAACAGTGCTTTAAGTGTTCGAAATAAAGCTAGTAGAATCCTTGGCTCATATCAAGAAGCATAAAAAAAATAGGAGTCCTCAGGTTGTTCTTCAACTCTATACATCCTTGGTTAGGCCTCATTTAGATTATGCTGCACAGTTTTGGTCACCTTATTACAGAATGGATTAAATTCTCTGGAAAATGTACAAAGGAGGATGACAAAGTTGATCCCATGTATCAGAAACCTTCCCTTTTGAGGATAGACTAAGGGCCTGAATCTGCACTCTCTAAAAAGACGTGAATTAGGGGGATATGATTGAGGTTATAAATGGAAGACAGGAATAAATAAAGGGGATGAAAAATAGTGTGCTGAAAATATCTAGCCTAGACAGGACTCGCAGCAATGGTTTTAATTTGGGAAAAAATTCAGATTCAGGAAGGATATAGGAAAGTACTGGTTCGGTAATAGAGTTGTGGATGAGTGGAACAAATCCCAAGTACCGTTATAGAGGCCAGAACGTTTTTGTAGCTTTAAAAATAGGTTGGATAAATACATGAGTGGATTTTGGGTGGGTGTGAGTTAGACCTGATAGCTTGTGCTACCAGGTCGGTTGCCGTGTTCCTCCCTTAAGTCAGTGTGACCTGACCTGACTAGGTTGGGTACATTGGCTTAAGCCGGTAGGAGACTTGGACCTGCCTCGCATGGGCCAGTAGGCCTTCTGCAGTGTTCCTTCGTTCTTATGTTCTTATGTTCTTAAGTAATTAGGTACATGGGTATTAGTCATCTTACATCTGCTGTCCCAGTTCACCTAGCAGTAAGTAAGTACCTGGGACTTAGTCATTTTACACCTGCTGTCACTGTTCACCTAGTGGGAAGTAGGTACTTGGATGTTAGTGGACTAGTGTGGGTGGCATCCTATATAATTTACATAGTGTATATTACCTGGAATAACTTATTTACTTATTTACATTAGGGTCAGTAATTAAATGATACAAACTCGGACCGAGACGTCGCCATACGTTTCACCCTCCTAAATACGGGTTACATGAGCATCTGCAATCCTTGCATGGCTCATAGGGAAACAAAAAATGTTAATGATAATCTTAATTAGCTCTCGTATTTAGCAAGGCTGGCAATGTAACCCCGTACAAAAAATGGAGAAAAGACATCTTTGTTTATAATGATGATGACGTTAGTGTTGTGCCAGACAGTGACGGGGGAGGACGTTCTCTCTCTCTCTCCTCATATTACCCCCGAGTCCCCCATTACTCTCTTTTTTGAGAATATTTTTGGGTGTAAATATAAGAAAATGGGTCAATATTTATGGTTAAAACTAATTTTTTCCCTCCAGATGAGGGTTTATTGTTTTTTTTAGGGGTGATGGTAGAGGGGATGTATAGGATTGATTATTTCCCTTAATAGACGTGTTTTGGTGCTGATGAGGGGTTCTGATCCGAGGAAGTGGAGCTGTTAGGTCCTTGGATCAAACCTGGGTGCCTCTCATGTTCCCAGGCTATGTATGACCCCCATGGGTTTAGCGTTTCCCATGCATTATTTGATTACCAGTGAATATATATATACAAGTGTATATACCTTGTTATATATATATAAAATATATATATATATATATAAAATATATATATATATATAATATATATATATACACACACAAGTGTATATACCTTGTATATATTTATTTTTTTTTTTATTATCACACGGCCGATTCCCACTTGTATATATTTATATATATATTATATATATATATATATATATATATATATATAAGTGAAATTTTACCTTATGTATATTACATATAAAAGTAATTTTTACATAAATTTATTAGTTTTGATAGGCTGTCTGGTATAGACCTTAGACCTAATAAGTTTCCTTATCTAAGGTTAAGCAGCATTGTATGACCCTTGTGGGTTTAGCACTTATGATTATAATAATTATCTATGGTTAAATTACTAAAACGTAATTATTCGTCAATGTATATTTTATTAATATTGACTTGTAAATATGTAGTGTTTTTCTTCTTACTTCTCGATGCTGGTGAAGGGCTCCTGTTCCAAGGATTTGGAGCTGTTTAAATGGCAGATTGAACAAGATTTTTTTGGGTGGTTATGTTAGGTAATTTACACGTGTTGCTATGTATGATTTATTTATTTATTTATTAATTTGAACATGATATAGAGAAGATAATTGTACTTATGTGTTCCTAAATAATCTTGCTAAATGCAAATTACCTTTTTGAAGATAATGGATGATTAGAAAGTCAGAAATGTCTCAGTGACCTTTAATTGTAATAATAATATAATAATATGTAATTGTAATAATAATATAATTATAATATAATATAATTATAATATAATAATATAATAATATAATTGTAATAATAATATAATAATATCTTTATTACTACCAGTACCTGACACAACTTATACAGACCATAATAATAATAATAATAATAATAATAATAATAATAATAATAATAATAATAATAATAATAATAATAATAATATTTATTACTACCAGTACCTGACACAACTTATACAGACCATAGCTGACACCTATGACATACTACTATATAGAAAGTTCCTTGTTATGTACAGCATTTCCTGCATATTAGGTCAGTTTTGTCCCCAGGATGCCACCCACACCAGTCCACTAACACCCAGGTACCTATTTTAATGATGAGGAACATAGACATCTGGTGTAAGGAAACATGCCCAATGTTTCTACCCTCGCTGGGAATCAAACCCAGAGCCTCACCATGTGAAGCGAGAGCTTTAGCCACCAGGCCACGGGACACCGTTACTAGGTTATCCTAGGCTAAAGCTTCAAAATGTGGTGTGTGTATGTTGGTCTGTAGCACCTCGCTGCCCTAAAGATAACTGAAAAATCTTGTGTGTAAACGGTAATATATTTGAAGTGAGAGGTGTTATAAAGTTCCTATAAAGAGAACAATTTTCCTAAATGCAATTAAAAAAGTGTCAAAAATTGAATCGCACTTACTATGAGGGTCTTTTAATCTGCTGTTCAATTTTGGGTGTACCTGTTCAATGACAATGTCAAAGTATTTCACTATTTAGAAGGTACTCTGCTAGTCTATATGTATTTATATTTTTACCCATAAATATTACAGGCTGAGAGCTGTTGTCCAACCCTATATACGGTATACTACCCTCCGTAGGATGTGACCCACAACAATCTACTAACACCTAGGTACCTACTTACTGCAAAGGGCAGCCAGGGACAGCTGGTCTAATGAAACACATCCAGTGTTTCCACTCGTTCCGGGGATCAAACCGTGGACACTCAACATGCGAATCAATTATAATCCCTCTTCCCTACCTGGTGGAGAGGTTATAATCAGCACTCTGGCAAGATGTGTCCTTCAGGATCCACCTTCTGAGAAAGGCATATATTGTAGGCTTTTCTATAATGTGCATTGGTGTGTAATCTTAAGTTAGGCTTAAGCTTGCCAGAAATGCTCTGCATAACCGTGGGCTTTCTATAAGTATTGTCAAGTGTCATCCCATTTTCGTACATATACTTAATGTATATTAGTAATAATACACCTACATATACATATACATAGTAATAATACTGCTGTACATTAACATCTCCATACAAAGCAGGTGAAATCGCAGATCTAGAGAGTGTACAGAGATCCTTTACTGCACGTATAAGTTCTGTCAAGCACCTTAACTACTGGGAACGCTTGGAAGCACTTGACTTGTACTCGTTGGAACGCAGGAGGGAGAGATATATCATAATCTACACTTGGAAAATCTTGGAAGGAATGGTCCCAAATCTGCACACAGAAATCACTCCCTACGAAAGTAAAAGACTGGGCAGGCGATGCAAAATGCCGCCAATAAAAAGTAGGGGCGCCATTGGTACACTAAGGGAAAACACCATAAGTGTCCGGGCCCAAAACTGTTCAACAGCCTCCCATCAAGCATTAGGGGAATTGCCAATAAACCCCTGGCTGCCTTCAAGAGAGAGCTGGACAGATACCTAAAGTCAGTGCCGGATCAGCCGGGCTGTGGCTCGTACGTCGGACTGCGTGCGGCCAGCAGTAACAGCCTAGTTGATCAGGCCCTGATCCATCGGGAGGCCTGGTCGTGGACCGGGCCGCGGGGGCGTTGATCCCCGGAATAACCTCCAGGTAACCTACATATACATATACTTAATTCTTTCTTTCAACACACCAGCCATATCCCACCGAGGCGGGGTGGCCCAAAAGGAAAAACAAAAGTTTCTCCTTTTACATTTAGTAATATATACAGGAGAAGGGGTTACTAGCCCCTTGCTCCTGGCATTTTAGTCGCCTCTTACAACACGCATGGCTTACGGAGGAAGAATTCTGATCCACTTCCCCATGGAGAACATATACTTAATGTATATTAGTAATAATACGACCGAGTTCGGTTCTGAGAAACCGGTCGTAAGTCGAAATGGTCGTAAGTCGAACTTTACTACTGAATATCAACAAAACATTTTTGTAATGACTTTATTTTATTGTTTTATTTTGGTATTTCATGTTTTACTTTACTTTTTATGTTGTTAGTATTGTATTTTATACTGTAAGGTTTAGGATAAACACTGCATACAACACAAATACTTGTTTATTTCCCAGAAATTTGGCATAAAAAACAAGGTCGTAAGTTGAGTGGTCGTAAATCGAGCAGATCGTAAGTCGGATGGTAGGTGTACTTCAGCATGATAGTGCTTGTACAACGGTGAATTACATTTAGATGTGTATGCAGAAAGTCCCTTAATATGTAGAGCATTTAGGTACAGTTAGGTACAGTAGAGTTAGGTTAGATTATTTAGGTACACATACAGTTACACAAATTATCATACAATGGTGGCCCGGTGGCCTGGTGGCTAAAGCTCCCGCTTCACACACGGAGGGCCCGGGTTCGATTCCCGGCGGGTGGAAATTCCGACACGTTTCCTTACACCTATTGTCCTGTTCACCTAGCAGCAAATAGGTACCTGGGTGTTAGTCGACTGGTGTGGGTCGCATCCTGGGGGACAAGATTAAGGACCCCAATGGAAATAAGTTAGACAGTCCTCGATGACGCACTGACTTTCTTGGGTTATCCTGGGTGGCTAACCCTCCGGGGTTAAAAATCCGAACGAAATCTTATCTTATCTCTTATTATACATAGTGTGTGTAAATTGCCCGCCAGGATAACCTGGAAAAGTCAGACAGAGTGACGTATTTCCTTTGAAGTCCTTGTCATGGAGAAATAAATGTGGATTTGATTTGAGTCTGCTCCCTCCCTCTGTAGCTCATTGCAGATAATAAAATGAAAATAACAAAAAAGGCACAATACCGTGACTGGAACGATACACAAATAACCCGCACATAAAAGAGAGAAGCTTACGATGGCGTTTTGGTCCGACTTGGACCATTTACAAAGTCACACTGACTTTGTAAATGGTCCAAGTTGGACCGAAACGTCGTTGTAAGCTTCTCTCTTTTATGTGCGGGTTATTTGTGTATAAAATGAAAACTTACTGACGAATCTCTTTGCGTAGTTACATTTATTTTAATTTGTGACAGTACTGTAGTTTTTAATTTTTATAAAAAGGGCGCATTACCGAATATTAATTTAATATTTTTACAAATTGCAAATATTAATTTAACATTCTTTTGCAGCATGTTCAACAGACCTGGTCAGATTGTGATGTTTACTGAAGACCAGCGACTGTATACAAGTATGTGGATTCTTAAGTGGTTAAGAGGTGGAGTTCTGTATTGTGTATTATACAGCCTCTCCTCATTTAGCCACATACTCGTTTACTGATGACTCGGACATATGACGGGCTATCATGACCAGTATACATACCTAAATACTGTAATGTATATTAGAGCTAATTTCCTCTATTCTGTTTAATATATGTACAGTACACTATTGTATAAACATTCAAAAATATGCCAGAAATGTTACAAATGGTAAAAGTGGCATTAAAACAGTATCAAAGATGGTTGACACAAACTCACTACCATTATAGTATGCTCCTCGCTTAGCGATGAATTTGATTAACGACGTGATCTCAGGAACGAAACTCCATTGTTAAGTGAGGAAAGGCTGTATTTGTTTTTGGTGACAGCAATTATTTATTTATTTAGCATATATTCGTATTTGACTTACTATATTTTCGACTTACATTGGGTTCATCAGAATGTAACCCCACCGTAAGTCGTAGAGTACCTGTATGTTATAGAGAAACAGGTCATCAAAACATCGATACCTGTGTCTAGAACTCTCACCATGATGAATTTTATACACATATTTTAACTGTCTCGCACTTTTCAGGGCTAACTGCTGGAAGTCTGAGAGCAAGACAGTGATGTGCTAATCAGGGAGATGAAAGCACAGCTGTCTCATTGGCTCTCGCAGGGGAACCTGATATCAGACGATACATTACTTTGACAGGTTGGTAATATTTTGACAGGTTAGTAATAGTATTTTGACAGCTTAGTAATAATATTTTTAGCTTTTGTATAGCCTCCTGATGACAGCTGCCAGATATTTTATATAGGTCTACCTCACTAATACGGACAGTTACGTGCCTTAGCCCTTTCAGGGTCGACAGGCCCTCTCAGAAACTTGCTCTCAGGGTCGGCCAAATTTAAAAAAAAAAAAAAAAATTTCTTGTGAAAAGATACAGAATCTTTTCCCAATCATAATACGGCTGTGGCTCATACGTTGGATTGAGTGCAGCCAGCAGAAACAGCCTGGTTGATCAGGCTCTGATTCACCAGAAGCCTGGTCACAGACCGGGCCGCGGGGGCGTTGACCCCCGGAACTCTCTCCAGGTAAACACCAAAAGTATGAAATTTGATGGAAAACTTACGGAATTATGCTCTCGCAAAGTTAGCGGTCTCGACGATTTTTACGCATCAGTAATTTTGCCCACTTTGAGCCCTATTTTCGGCCAATTCCAGTGTACTTGTTGACAAAAATCGTAACTATTTTGCTAGAACTCCATTTTTTCTATCAAATGAGTACAAGAAACCACCCATTTACCGATTTCAGCTATTCAATACAGTGATCAGAATTTAGCAATTTTGCCAATTTCACACAAATTTCAAAAGATGCCAGTTTCCGAATAGGGTTCAGAATAAACAAAGACATTCCTGGCACCAAAATAACATTTCCTCTGTTCATTAGTCACATCCCCAGGCCCCTCTTACATTCTTTTGCTTTCCACTTTGAATTTTTATTCTCACAAAAAATAGAAGATTTACTGTTATGCAGACTACTGTATTAGTGTAGAAATGGTATAAATAATATCAGCGCACTTGTGAAAGAATATTACACTCACCAGTTGACGTGTATTGGACGCTTAGCATGATTTGTTTACTTTTGAACTTTGGTAAAAATCGAACATTTCTGCTACTTTGAGCTCAATTTCAAGGTACTTTTCTTTGTAAAACCAATCAAAATCATCTCAATTTCTGTAATATGTCTTCCATTCTATAAAATGAGACCAGGAAAACTAGAATACAACAATAAATACCATACAAAAATACAGTGCAAAGTCGCTGTTTTAATCCAAAAAAACGGTCAAAGTTTTTTTCTTCTTATTACGCACTGTGTGCTGCAGGATTTTTTTTTATACTGCGCACACTGACCACACAGACCCATTCTTTCATATGTAGGCCTACCAGCTTTCTCTCACTAGAATTTAGGCGTACTAGTACGTCAAAAACCCTGGGTCGTAAGCCGTACTAGTACGGCCGAAACCCTGAAAGGGTTAAAGTGAATCAGCTTTTTTTTCTTTTTTCTTTGTTGCTATCCAGTGAATACAAAAGCCTAAAAATATATTTACAATACCATTTATTAATTGCACAATAGCACTAGGCCTAAGAAAATGATGCAAAAGTAAAAATAATAAATAAAAAAAATGAAAATTCCCAAGAGAAGCGCCATTAATAAACATGAATGTAATTGAAAAATGCCATATTGGTGAAGCGAGCGCCATATTAACGAGGTACGCCTGTGTATGAAGTGGTGGTAAGTGACTTAAAACTATGTAAAAGTGTTAAAGAATCTTTTAAATGGTCAAAGCTTGGTTGGTAACATCCTCAGTTCACACAATGAGACTCTGGGGGATCAGTCCCAGCACGGGTGAAATGTTGGGTATGTTTCCTTACACCTGCTGTCCATGTTAAAGGATCCCAGTGGAAATAAGTCACTCTGGCTGACATTTTGGGCTATCCTAGGTACTTTACACATATGCTGCTATGTATGATAATCTATGTAACTGTATTTGTGTATACCTGAATAAACTTACTTACGTTCACCCAGCAGTAAGTAGGTACCTGGGTATTAGTCGACTGGTGTGGTTCATACCCTGGGAATAAAATTAACCTAAGTTGTGAGAAATGCTCTGCATAACAAGGGACTTTCTATATAGTAGTATGTTATTCATGTCGGTTATGGTCTGTATAAGTTGTATCATGCACTTCTAGAAATAAACATTATTATTATTAGTATTACACATACATGTATAAGTATTGTATTTATTTGCTTTAAAACATTTTTAACTATTGTTGCTATGTTGAGTTTGAATATATCACAGGAAATAAATTATCCGAGCCACAGGGGGGCATTGACATTGTATATAATAGATATTTAAATTTTGTACATAATATATGACCACAAGTTTTGAGGATCATGATGGGCACTGTGCAAATGGACAGGACTCGCTTGTGTCAATACCCTAATCAATCTCTCTCTGATAAGGATAAGTTGTCATAGATTACACTGGTTAGGTTTTGGGTAATCGAAACTTCAGATGTGTGTGGTAGTAGCAGTAGTAATAATAGCAGTAGGAAAATAGTAGCAAAAGTAGTAGTAATAGTAGTAGTAGTAGTAGTAGCAGTAGTAATAGCAGTGATAGTGTTAGCAGTAATAGTATTAGCAGCAATAGTAGTAGTAATAGTAATAATATTAGTATATTAGTTCTAGGTAGTAGGTTGGTAGACAGCAACCACTCAGGGAGGTACTACCATCCTGTGGTAGGTTGGTAGACAGCAACCACTCAGGGAGGTACTACCATCCTGTGGTAGGTTGGTAGACAGCAACCACTCAGGGAGGTACTACCATCCTGTGGTAGGTTGGTAGACAGCAACCACTCAGGGAGGTACTACCATCCTGTAGTAGGTTGGTAGACAGCAACCACTCAGGGAGGTACTACCATCCTGTAGTAGGTTGGTAGACAGCAACCACTCAGGGAGGTACTACCATCCTGTGGTAGGTTGGTAGACAGCAACCACTCAGGGAAGTACTACCATCCTGTGGTAGGTTGGTAGACAGCAACCACTCAGGGAGGTACTACCATCCTGTGGTAGGTTGGTAGACAGCAACCACTCAGGGAGGTACTACCATCCTGTGGTAGGTTGGTAGACAGCCACCACCCAGGGAGGTACTACCATCCTGTGGTAGGTTGGTAGACAGCAACCACTCAGGGAGGTACTACCATCCTGTGGTAGGTTGGTAGACAGCAACCACTCAGGGAGGTACTACCATCCTGTGTAGGTTGGTAGACAGCAACCACTCAGGGAGGTACTACCATCCTGTGGTAGGTTGGTAGACAGCAACCACTCAGGGAAGTACTACCATCCTGTGGTAGGTTGGTAGACAGCAACCACTCAGGGAGGTACTACCATCCTGTGGTAGGTTGGTAGACAGCACCACTCAGGGAGGTACTACCATCCTGTGGTAGGTTGGTAGACAGCCACCACCCAGGGAGGTACTACCATTCTGTGGTAGCAGGTTGGTAGAGCAACCACCCAGGGAGGTACTACCATCCTGTGGTAGCAGGTTGGTAGATAGCAACCACTCAGGGAGGTACTACCATCCTGTGATAGGTTAGTAGACAGTAACATCCCAGGGAGGTACTACCATCCTGTGGTAGTAGCTTGGTAGACAGCAACCACCTGGGGAGGTACTACCATCCTGAGTGTCCAGCGGAAACCTGTAATTGTTTTGCACGATGGTAGGATTACTGGTGTCTTTTTTCTGTGTTGTAAGCATTCAAAATAACAGGTACATCTTGCTACTTCTACTTACACTTAGGTCACACTTATAGAGCAACTTGCAGTGTGAACAAATTGACTGATATTGTAGTAGCCTGGCTTAAGCTTGGTTACAAGTACAGTGGACCCCCGCATAACGATCACCTCCGAATGCGACCAATTATGTAAGTGTATTTATGTAAGTGCATTTGTACGTGTATGTTTGGGGGTCTGAAATGGACTAATCTACTTCACAATATTCCTTATGGGAACAAATTCGGTCAGTACTGGCACCTGAACATACTTCTGGAGTGAAAAAATATCGTTAACCGGGGGTCCACTGTACTTGTTTCAGTTTGGCAGACACACAAATAATGATCATACTACATATAATGTATGTAGCCAGGCCTGTGTTCATTATCTTGAACACGATATGCTTAATTGTCTACTTATTGAGGAATATAGACACAGACAGTATAGTAACCTATATGATATGTTAGCATATCTTATTAATGAAAGTAAGATGCCAAATATATTAAGCAAATGCTGTAGTAAATTATAGTTATTTTTTATCTTGGTAAATAATAATAATAATACCAAAAAAAAATTTCAATATTTTTTATTTAGAATTTTGTATACTGTATATATAGTTTGTACTGTATATTCAATACGTGCATTATATAATATTCAGTGGCTTTCAGATGGGTGGGCAGTAATAAGAGAATTACTAAGAGTACAGTAATGAGAAGTGGTGATATCAGCTCGGAATGATTAGAGGTGAACAACCCTGAGCGAGGCAGGTAAACAAACACATATAGAAGGTTTTGTAAACATGACGCATCACCGATGTTCAGAGGTGTGTGCGGTGCTTTGCTCTTCCTCGTGTGGTGTGGGTGGTAGGTGAGTCCTGCTTTAAGGTCACTAGTGCAGTATTGTGCTCATATGTAAATCTTTGATACTTTGTGATTTGCTGCGTTGTGAGTTATTGTGTAAGATATATTGTGTTAACTCCATGGGGAAGTAAAACAGAATTCATCCTCTGTAAGCCATGTGTGCTGTAAGAGGCGACTGAAATGCCGGGAGCAAGGGGCTAGTAACACCTTCTCCTGTATACATTACTAAAGTTAAAAAGAGAAACTTTTGTTTTTCTTTTTAGGTCACCCTGCCTTGGTGGGATATGGCTGGTTTGATGAAAAAAAAAATAGTGTTAGATACAGTGTGTTAGATATGCTGTTGTTAGATATACTATTGTTAGATATGCTGTGTTAGATCTGTGAACATTCTGTCCCTGTCCACCTTGTTAATTCCTTCTAGTATTGTATGTCATTACCCCTCGGCTCCGGGACTAGTCTTATTGCAAACTTTTGTCGTATATATTCAAGAAATCTTACTAACACAATTGCAAATCAATCACGAAACAGGTGGGGCTCAAAACCATGAAGGGACTTGAGCTTGAGCACGACACGACCACACTGGTGTGGAATTCGTCGGTAAAAAGACGTGCATTTGTGGTCACAGTGGTGGCCCATGCTAACCTCCCTATAGTGTATAGAAATATACCTAGATGAAGGAATCTTATTAGAGCTGGTCAAGTGGTTAACACGCTGGCCTGTGAGTTTTAAGAGTTACCATGGATCTGAGTCTTCCATCTCTGTCAAGTTCACATTAACTGTTAAACTGTCCGAACAGATCTACGTTCACATGCGTAGTGCTCCAAAAATAGATCTGTTTTTTTTACATATTTTCAAATATAACAAAAAAAAAAAACGTAGATCAAAGTTTTTTTAACACTTTTCAAATGTAAAAAAAGAAAAGATCTACTTTTTTTACATATTTTCAAATGTTGAAAAAATGTAGATCTATGTTTGGATAGTTTAAGGGTTAAGGTAGTGCAGGCAGGCCCCAAAAATACAGCAGGTTAGGTTCCGGGCTACTGTAGGGCCCCAAAAATACAGCAGGTTAGGTTCCAGGCTACTGTAGGGCCCCACTTATACAGCAGGTTAGGCTCTGGGCTACTGTAGGGCCCCAATTACAGAGCAGGTTAGGTTCCAGTTAGGCCAGTAGGCCTACTACAGTGCCAAGTATAGGCCAGTAGTCTTACTGCAATGTTCCTCTTTTCTTATGTTCTTATGAAATTTCATGGACTGAGCTTTCAATTTCAGTATACAGTGGTACCTTGGGATACGAACTTGAACAATTATGTAAGTATTTTTGTAAGTGTATTTTTGGGGGTCTGAAATGGATTAATCTATTTTACATTATTCCTTATGGGAACAAATTCATTCGGTACTCAAACAGCCTTCTGGAATGAATTAGGTTCGTATCCCTAGGTACCACTGTATTTTAATTTGCGTATCTACATTGGTTTTACTTGCGACCAATGTCCAATTTTATTTCTATTGTAACTTGCTTTATCTTCATATCTATTCAATTACTCCATAAAAGTGAAGATCACTGAATCAGTTTGAAATATGTTATTCTTTTGTAATTGTACCATTTGTTCATTACCTACATATTTAATTGTACTCATGATTGTAGTTAACTACTTAAGAAGTCCTACTTAATAGTCTGTCTAGTTCTTAAGTAACGTTTGTGCATTAGGGCAAGTTTGCCTGGAATACATTGCATGCTAGTGGATTTCTTTTGTACCTTCCAATATTGTATTTCATGTCATCTACATTATTTTGTACCATATTAAGAAATGCAGTTGTATTGTACAAGTGATCCTTGACTTACGATGGTACGACTGACGATACTTCAACTTGACGATGGTGCAAAAACAATTACCTTAGAGATGAAATTTAATTACCCCAGCATGAAGGCAGCAAGTCCCTAACTTGTATTCATTTATTTACTTTTCAATACTAGTATTTAGTTACAGTAATTATTTATTTATTCAGTGACAACACTTATTATTTAGCATATACTGTACAGTAGTTCCCCTGTATCCACGGGGGATATGTTCCAAGACCTGCCATGGATACCCGAAACTGTGGATAGTAGAGCACCCTATACGTATGTAAGTTGTTTTTATTTACATACTTATGATAATGAATATCTATGATAAATTATGCATGATGAATTATACTTTTTTTTTTTTTTTTAAACAAGTCGGCCGTCTCCCACCAAGGCAGGGTGACCTAAAAAGAAAGAAAATCCCCCCCCCCAAAAATACTTTCATCATTATTCAACTCTTTCACCTCACTCACACTGGTTTTGCAGAGGTGCTCAGAACACAACAGCTTAGAAGCATATACGTATAAAGATACGTAATATATCCCTCCAAACCATCAATATCCCGAACCCCTCCTTTAGAGTGCAGGCAACACTGTGCTTCCCATTTCCAGGACTTAAGTCCGGTTATATAAAAATAACCGGTTTCCCTGAATCCCTTCACTAAATATTACCCTGCTCACACTCCAACAGATCGTCAGGTCCCAAATACCATTCGCCTCCATTCACTCCTATCTAACACGCTCACAATTTATACCTATGATAAATTATGGATAATAAGTTGAAAATTATCACTTTTTAACTGATGGGAGGCACTTCATAGCTTCTCTTAGTGTTTGAAGAACTGTCACCATCACTACTTTTGTGCTCTGAGGCCATTATTAAGCAAAATTAAAGGTTATTTTAAGGCCACAGCAAACCATGGCTAACTGAAACCACGGAAACCGAATCCGGAAATACGAGGACTCTACTGTTATCACATGCAACTTAGGATATTTTTGACTTACGATGGATATGTTGAAACATAACTCCATTATAAGTTGAGGTGTTAGCACCGGTACTGTATTATACTTCTAAACTGATCCAAACTCATGTTAGACATTTTCATAGATTACCTCACCATTACAAATTTATATTCTGGGTTTGACAAGGATCTCTGCTAAGTATGGGCTGGTAGGCCTACTGCAGTGTTCCTCCTTTCTTGTGTAGTGCTGTAGTGTCTTTTGTACTCTTCAGCACCCACAACCTGGTGGCTAAAGCTCCCGCTTCACACACGGAGGGCCAGGGTTCGATTCCCGGCGGGTGGAAACATTTCGACACGTTTCCTTACACCTGTTGTCCTGTTCACCTAGCAGCAAATAGGTACCTGGGTGTTAGTCGACTGGTGTGGGTCGCATCCTGGGGGACAAGATTAAGGACCCCAATGGAAATAAGTTAGACAGTCCTCGATGACGCACTGACTTTCTTGGGTTATCCTGGGTGGCTAACCCTCCGGGGTTAAAAATCCGAACGAAATCTTATCTTATCTTATCTTATCTCTAACTCTCCCGTAGTTTCAAAATCAGAATCTATGCCCTTTTATAAAAGTTAGAATTTGAGCAGTGTCTGGATTGTCATTGCTTTCATCTAGTGTGAAAAAATGTTTGATATGTGTTACCCTGTCAGTGATGTTTTAATAACTCGTATCTTAATAATAATAATAAATAATAATTATTTCGACATGATTCAACTTATCCTAGGTAGTAGGTTGGTAGACAGCAACCGCCCAGGGAGGTACTACCGTCCTGCCAAGTGAGTGTAAAACGAAAGCCTGTAATTGTTTTACTTGATGGTAGGATTGCTTATCCTTTATTCTGTCTCATAAATATGCAAGATTTCAGGTATGTCTTGCTACTTCTACTTACACTTAGGTCACACTACACACACATGTACAAACATATATATATATATATATATACACACAAACCCCTTTGGGTTTTCTGCTATTTTCTTTCTTGTTCTTGTTTATTTCCTCTTTATCTCCATGGGGAAGTGGAACAGAATTCTTCCTCCATAAGCCATGTATGTTGTAAGAGGCGACTAAAATGCCGGGAGCAAGGGGCTAGTAACCCCTTCTCCTGTATAAATTACTAAATTTAAAAAGGGAAACTTTTGTTTTTCTTTTTGGGCCACCCTGCCTTGGTGGGATACGGCCGGTTTGTTGATAGAAGAAGAAGAAAGATTCAACTTATACAGACCATAGCTGACATCATTGATTTATTATAATTTACTTCTAACCACAGCCAACACACATCTTATTCTATGTCAAATTTTTTCTTAAAATTATTGTCTTGACTTGCATATCGATTTTTTTAATTGTTTATTTTTGTAATAGGTGCAGAGGCCCGCAGTCAACCACATTGGAGGTCCCATGTGACCTACTGTATGGTTTATCAATTTAGTTTCAGATGTATTTTTTAATGCCAGCCGTCTCCCACTGAGGCAGGGTGACCCCAAAAAGAAACACTTTCACCGTCATTCATACTGTCACTGTCTTGCCAGAGGCACACAGACATGACAGTGTAAATATTACTCCAAATAGCAGATATCCCAAACCCATCCTTCAGAGTGCAGGCATTGTGTTTCCCACCTCCAGAACTGTAACATCGTCACTCATCCCTCAGAGTACAGATACTATACTTCCTATCTCCAAAACTGTAACATCCTCCCCCCATCCTTCAGAGTGCAGGTTTTGTACCTCCCACCTCCAGGAAGGTCAGATTTTTATATCTAATCTTATTCATGTTTTTGCAGATTGGTGTCAATGATGGGCGAAGAAAAGCTGAAAGAATGCGAGCAGGTGACTGTAGTGGTGTTGGGAGATCTCGGTCACTCGCCACGCATGAACTACCATGCTCTGTCACTCTCGCAAGAAGGTTTTGAGGTGAATCTGGTGGGATTTGCTGGCTCCAAACCACAAGTGGAAGTCTTGAAAGATGAACATATCACTCTTACCTACATGAGACCTTCTCCAGATGCCTTCAACAAGTTACCTAAACTATTAGCCTTTGTTGCCAAGGTTTTATGGCAAGCATTTATTCTTTTTTTTACCTTGCTTACGGGGCCAAGAAGCAAGAATCTCCTGTTACAGAATCCCCCTGGAGTTCCTGCCATGCCTGTGTGTTGGCTCTATTGCTTCCTTACCAGGACAAAGTTTTATATTGACTGGCATAACTATGGCTACACTATTCTTGCTCTGTCACTTAGGAAAAGCCATCCTCTAGTATACATTTATAGAATCGTAGAAAAAGTATTTGGCAAGTTGTCGCATGGGGGACTGTGCGTTACTAAAGCTATGAAAGTTGATCTGGAGCAGAATTGGGGCATTAGGAAAGTTACAGTGCTGTACGACCGTCCGGCCTCACGATTCCATCCAATATCAATGGAAGAAAAACACAACTTTCTTATGAAACTCTCCTCTACGTATTCATGTTTCTCTGGTTCGTCGCCAGACAAGACTGTCTTTACAGAGAGGTATGCTGACGGTAGAGTGGCCGAGTGTGAAGACCGTCCTGTGCTTATCGTCTCTTCCACGAGCTGGACAGAAGATGAGGACTTTTCCATCCTCTTCTATGCTCTTGAAGATTATGAGCGAGTGCGCCAGGAGTTCCCCGATCACTACCCTCCACTTATTGTTGCTGTGACAGGCAAGGGTCCCTTAAAATCCTACTATTCCACAATGATGTCTGAGCAACAGTGGATGCATGTTGTGGTCATCACCCCATGGATGTCCGCTGAAGATTACCCAACATTGCTTGCTTCTGCAGATTTTGGCGTGTGCCTCCACTACTCCTCATCTGGATTGGACTTGCCTATGAAAGTGGTGGACATGTTTGGTAGTGGCCTTCCAGTCGCAGCTATAGACTACCCGGCTCTCCCCGAATTGGTGCACCACAATGAAAATGGACTAGTTTTCAAGAACAAGGAAGAACTTGCCAACCTTCTACAGGACTGGTTTCGCGGATTCCCCCGTGAAACGGCAATCAAAGAAACCTATTATGACTTCTACAAGAACATCGATGAGTTTCGAAAGTTGAGCTGGCATCCATGTTGGGTGTGTAATGCTCTCCCATTGTTCAGGAATAAAAAACAGAAGTGAAAAACTTACTTTTTATAAGAAAAATGGAGCTATTGAAGATATTTTTCTGTACATTTGTTTATATTACAGCCTCTTCACACTTAGCGGCATACTTGTTTACTGATGCCTCGGAATTACGATGGGTCTCTGACCAGTATACGTACCTAAATAATGTATATTAGAGCTGATTTCCTCTGTTCTGTTTATTACAATATACAGTACACTACTGTATAAACATTTACAAATATACTAAAAGTGTTATAAATGGTGCAAAGGCAACATTAAAACAATATCAAAGATGGTTGACACAAACCCACTACCATTATAGTATGTTCCTCACTTAGTGACGAATTCATTTACTGATGTGGTCTTACAAATGAAACTCCGTCGTTAAGTGAGGAGAGGCTGTATTAAATAACAATTTAGGAATGGAAAACAGGAGTGCTCTCACTTCATACACAATTTTTTTTGATAACCTAAATTTGGCAGAAATTCACTCATGTGTGATATGAATTTAGTCAATGTGGTCAGTGCAGTTCACAAAATGAAGATTACTGATTTAAGTGGCAATGAAGTGTTTGAACCTACAACAGTTGCCATGCAATTGGGCACTTTGATGCAGTGTGTGCAGGTTCAAATCCCGCTGCGGAGTGAGAGGGATGATGTTTGTAAACGGAACTAAGATAAATTTTGTGTATATAAAACAGTAAGTACTCTCCAGGGGTGTGCCATGATGATGGTAAAGGTTTGTTAAACTGAGGAAGTGATGTTAACTGCCCTCACAATAACATAAGCAAGGAGGAACACTACAGCAGGCCTACTGGCCCACACTTGGCAGGTACTTGTCAAATCCAAACTCACTAATAAAAATCTGCATCCAACCTATTAGTGTTACCCAAGGAATGAGCTTTGATAAACCTGTTAGCTCGAGTGCAAGTTCCACTTAAACCCAGCCCCTCCTACTCATGTATTTATAAGAAACTAGATCATCTCCCATGGATCAGAGAGCTCTATCTTAAACCAGAATCATGACATTTTAAAACAATGGCCGATTTATGTACCATATTTTGCGGCTTATAAGACTTGTTTTAGTTTCAATAGCTCGGCATCGGACGTAACTGGGAAAGCTACAGTCCACCCCAAACTTACGGCTCCTGTCACTAACCTTCAGTCTATAGGCTGATTTTTGGAGACATTTTATGGTAAAAAAAATGTGTCTAATAGGCCGCAAAATAAAGTAAATAGGGCAATACTGATAATGATATTTTAAAGAGATTTCTTATTGAGTGCCTCTTTCAAGAATATTCACAAGTGCTCACTCGGCATTGCCAGATACACAGACGTATTATTTTTTGTACGCAGTATTCAGATTAAATATATTTAATATTACAAATGTTTTATCAGTTGAGAAATGTTTTCTTTTCCTTGATTATGCAGAATGTGGATGTAGGTACTGTAGTCATGTTTGTTTTAAAATACATATCGTTTATTGCATATTTTTATAAAATCATTTGAAAAATCCGTCAATATCGTACTTCGTATTTCAGTTAAAATTCGTACATTATTGCACTTTTAATCGAAAATGTCAATAATTTATATTTTGGACTAATTGTGTTACAGGGCTTTATCAAGAGTAGCTGTAATTACTGCGGTCTAAGTGTCTATTAAGTTTTAGGTACGTCTTGCTACTTGTACTCACACTTAGGTCACGCTACACATGCATGTGCAAGCATATAGTATGTACACACCCCTCTGTATTTTCTTCCCCTCAAGGGAGGTTCCTTGATGCTGGTGAGGGGCTCTTGATGTAGGGAATTGGATCTGTGCTCCAGTTCCCTGAATTGATCATGAATGCCTCCCATCCCTTCCCCACATGTGCTGTATAATCCTATGGGTTTAGTGCTCCCCCGTGATTATAATAATAATCTGGGTTATCTTCTATTTTCTTACTAGGTCTTGTTCTTGTTATTTCCTCTTATTTCTATGGGGAAGAGGAACAGAATTTTTCATGTGTAAGCCATGCATGCTGTAAGAGTTGACTAAAATGCCGGGAGCAAGGGGCTAGTAACCCCTTCTCCTGTATACATTACTAAAGTTAAAAAGAGAAACTTCCGTTTTTTCTTTTTAGGCCACCTTGCCTCGGTGGGATACGGCGGGTGCGCTGAAAGAAGATATTCATATTCAACTTAAAATATTTTTGACTTAGGATGTGTTCGTTGGAACGTAACCCCAATGTAAGTCAACGACCACCTGTAGTTCCCCTCACTGACCTTACTAACTCTACCTCTGTTATACTCTCCACCCTCGTTAGTCTCTGATCAGGTATATTATACCTTTAGCAAAACCTTCCCTGCAGTGCTGTATGACCTTGTGGGTTTGGCACTTATGATTGTAATAATAATGGAGGAGGTATTTTATTGTCTGGGAAATCTGTTGATGTTGTAGCGAGTTATTTCAGTGTTTAGGTCTGGAATCAGTCTCTCCAGGGTTTTCCAGGTGTGTATTATACCTTGCCTTTTTCTTTTAACACACTGGCCATCTTCCACCAAGGCAGGGTGACCCGAAAAGGAAACACTTTTACCATCATTCACACTATCACTGTCTTTCCAGAGGCACGTAGATACCACAGTTTAGATGCCCCTCCTTCAGAGTGCAGGCATTGTACTTCCCACATCCAGGATTCAAGTCTGGCTTATCAGTTTCCCTGAATTCCTTCACAAAATATGACTGCTCACACTCCAACAGCACATCAGGTCCTATAAAACGTTTGTCTCCACTCCTATCTAACACAAACATGCCTGCTGTACGTCCAAGCCCCTTGTACACAAAACCTCCTTTACCCCCTTGAGTCTCGCCTCCTTGATATCTGTCTTCCATCTGTATACCCCTGTTGTATCTCCCAACAGGGAGTGCTACTCTCAGCTCCAACATCATCTACTGATACACTTGACAGTATTCTCCTTGGTGCTTCTCTCAGAGGTTCCTTGATGCCAGTGAGGGGTTCTTGATACAAGGAATTGAACCTCACCTTTCCCCTTCTTGGATCAAACCTAATTGCCTTTCATTCTCCAGGCACTGAGTAACCCTCATGGGTTTAGTGCATATTCCTATGAGAGACATCATCTAGAACACAACAGTATGAGTGTTCTAGATGGCTGACATCCAGCAGGTGTGCATTAGATGGGAGTGAGTGGAGACATGGTTCTTGGGACTTTACGTGCTGTTGGAGTGTAAGTAACGTAATATTTCGTGAAGGGATTCAGGGAAAACCGGTTAACTAGACTCGAGACCTGGAGGTGGGAAGTACAGAATCTGCACTCTGAGGGATGAGTTAGGAATATTTGCTATTTGGCGGGACAAATAGAACTGTACACCTCTGGTACGACAGTGATAGTCTGAATGATGGTGAAAGTGTTAACTTTTTTTGTGGAAAAAAACTGTATAGCCCTTGTGGTTTAGCGCTTCTTTTTGATTATAATAACTTGTGGAAAAAAATATAAATATACGTAAGACAAACCACAATGGATGGGAATCTTCAACTCAAGATCTTTCACAAATCTTCGTCCGTCATCAGGAGCTATTCAGTGTTGCAGAGGAAAGTCAACATGTTAATACCTTGTTGCTGTCAACACATTACCAATGAACAGTCACAATAAGTTCAACAATGAACATAGTTACAAGTTGAACCTGGATTACCTGTCACAATAAGTTCAATGAATATAGTCAACAGAAGTTCAATAATATATATATAAATATAAATATATATAATATATAATATATATATATATATATATATTATATATATATATATATATATAAATATATAATATATATAATATATATATATATATTATAATTAAAAACAGTTTTGTAAATACGACTGTAACTCAGTTCCTCCCTCCCTCCCCCCTCCTCTCCCCCTCCCTCCCCTCCCCCGCCTTTCCCCCTCCCTTCCCCCTCCCTCTCTTCCCCTGGTAACCGAAAAAAATGAAAAAACGATATGATTAGGTCAATTTGTTCCTCTTAGAAGAAGGGGCGGCGCCCCCCCTGGGCCTGCCCGCGGGGGGAGCCTCTCTCTGACACACCCTTCCAGGAGTGAGCCAAGGGGGGCGCTGCTCCCCGCTCCCCCGTCACTCAAGTGCTCTCCTTCCGAGGAACTGGAGCTATCCTTCCCCCCCCTCTAAGCGAGACTCATATACCCCCTCACCCATGCGGACTTACCGCTCTCCCGTCAATGGATTCTCATATAAAATAAAAAAAAATGGGTCTCTGAATGATGCCGTGTGACCCTTGTGGGTTTAACGCTCAGCTTGGATAGTAATAATAATATTTCAATTACTACCAATAATAATAATAATAATAATAATAATAATAATAATAATAATAATAATTATTATTATTATTATTATACTATTAAAAATACTCGGAAAATCCTAGAGGGGCTAGTCCCTAATTAGTCCCTAATTAGTCCCTAATTAGGGACTAATTAGCAAAAGACTGGACAGGAGATGTAACATTAACACAATGATAAGTAGCGGTGCTACGAGTACACTGAGAGACAACACGGTGTCAGGGGACCAAGACTGTTCAACTGCCTCTCACCATACATAAGGGGGATTACCAATAGAGCCTTGGTTGTCTTCAAGATCCCTGGTTGTCTTCAAGACCCCTGGTTGTCTTCAAGACCCCTGGTTGTCTTCAAGATCCCTGGTTGTCTTCAAGATCCCTGGCTGTCTTCAAGATCCCTGGTTGTCTTCAAGACCCCTGGTTGTCTTCAAGATCCCTGGTTGTCTTCAAGACCCCTGGTTGTCTTCAAGACCCCTGGTTGTCTTCAAGACCCCTGGTTGTCTTCAAGATCCCTGGTTGTCTTCAAGACCCCTGGTTGTCTTCAAGACCCCTGGTTGTCTTCAAGACCCCTAACTGTCTTCCAGAATGTGCCGAAAGCCTTCTTACAGTCCAGGAAAATACAGTCTACCCACCCCTCTCCCTCTGCTACCTTACGTCTGTCACCTTGCCTTAAAACTCCAATAAGTTAGTAACAGAATTTCCATTCTCTTAAAACGTGCTGGTTATCGTGCATAAGATCATTCCGTTCCAGGTGCTCCACCAGTCACGTCCTGATAATCTTCTCCATGACCTTGCATACTATACATGTCAGTGACACAGGTCTGTAGGTTAATGTTACCTATCTGTCCCCCTCAAGGAAGGCTCCTTGACGCTGGTGAGGGGCTCTTGATCTAGGGAATTGGATCTGTGCTCCAGTTCCCTGAATTAAGCCTGAATGCCTTCCATCCCCCCATAGGCGCTGTATAATCCTACGGGTTTAGTGCTTCCCCCTTGATTATAATAATAATACCTATCTGTCTCCTTTCTTAAAGATAGCAACTACATTTACTGTCTTCCATACCTCAGGTAGTCGCCCTGTTTTGATAGATGTGTTGAAGATTGTTGTTAGTGGTGCATACAGCATCTCTGCTCCCTCTCTCAGGATCCATGGAGAGATGGTATCCGGCCCCATCGCCTTTGAGGTATCTAGCTCACTTAGCAGCCTCTTCACCTCCTCCTCAGTTGTGTGTAGTGTGTCCAGCACTTGTTGGTGTACCTCACCATTTCGGTTTACTGTAGTCCGGTCTGTCTACACATATCTCTCATGTTGAGCCTCTCATATACTTTGTTGTTTCTTGTTGTCTCTCCTTCCTTATTTAGCCAGATTACCTGCTCCTTTAACTGTTGTTTTCCTCCTGATGTGGCTGTGGAACAGCTTTGGGTTAAATCTTGGTTTTGATGCTATGTTATTTACACATTGCCGTTGGTCCTCTCTCCTTATCTGTGCATCGTCGTTTCTGGCTCTTCGGGTAATCTTCTCCTTTTCCCGGGTCCTTTGTCTTCTATACTTTTTCCATTCTCTAGCACACTTAGTTTTGACCTCTCTGTACCTTTATAATATAATAATAATATAATAATATCTTTATTTACTACCAGTACCTGACACAACTTATACAGACCATAATAATAATAATAATAAAAATAATAATAATAATAATAATAATAATAATAATAATAATAATAATAATAATATTTATTACTACCAGTACCTGACACAACTTATACAGACCATAGCTGACACCTATGACATACTACTATATAGAAAGTTCCTTGTTATGTACAGCATTTCCTGCAAATTAAGTCAGTTTTGTCCCAGGATGCCACCCACACCAGTCACCTAACACCCAGGATGCGACCCACACCAGTCCACTAACACCCAGGATGCCACCCACACCAGTCCACTAACACCCAGGATGCCACCCACACCAGTCCACTAACACCCAGGATGCGACCCACACCAGTCCACTAACACCCAGGATGCCACCCACACCAGTCTACTAACACCCAGGTACCTATTTTACTGATG